GTGTAAGGGAGATAATTTCAATGATGTATTTGATTTATCTCCCTTACACTGCTTTAAATTATGTTTTGTACTAAAGTATTTGTCCATTAACCAGGACAACCTTGTTTTTCCCCCTTTTTTGCCCCTAATTCCTAAACGGTTTGAGCCATAACCCCCCAAAGCAAATCCTAACCATCCCTTTGTGGTATGGAAACTTGTAGTATAATTTCAGAGAGATCCATACACCGTTCCACAGTTATTGTCTGGAAACTAGAAAATGCTCATTTTTGGCCCCTTTTTGGCCCCTAATTCCTTAACTGTTGGTACCATAACCCCCAAAATCAATCCCAACCTTCCTTTTGTGGTATTTAACCTTATGGTCAAATTTCAAAAAGATCCATTCACTTAAACTAAAGTTAGAGTGCGAAAACCAATATGTATTCGGACGACGACGCTGGACGACGATGACGACGACGACGACGACGACGCCAACGTCATACCAATATACGACCACAAAATTTTTTTGCGGTCGTATAAAAAGGGGGAAAATTTGATTGGTTAACTACCAGTGATGGTTATTTTCTTATATGCAATGAAATGTTATGTGAAATTTTTTCTATAGTACTGGACAGGATCAAACTTTACTCATGCCAAGTATTTCTTTATTTGAAACAAAGATAAATTCTGCACAACTTTTTGAAAAGTGCAAATTTAACAAAGACTAATAGGGGAAAATCAATGGTGGTATTACACCTATTATGGGAAGCTGTACATGCACCTTTGACCTTGTGAGTACTCTCATGTGTTAAAATTTCTTGCTATTTAAGTGAAATATTACTAATAATGAAATATTCTGAGTGGATTGAGTCTCCAAAACACATTTTATGAGAAAATTTCCTTGAAATAGGACTTTACCATGAATATTAGTTGACAGAATAAGCCATACTTAGAGTTTTGGGGAGCTTTTTCTCCTTTTTTCTTATATTCTGCTATACTAGAAAATTTTTCCTAAGAAATACTTTAATAAATATATAGTTTTAAGTAAATGAAATTATTTTTAAAGCAGTAACAACAAATTATTCACCAAAAGAGAAGCTTTTTATGTCCCTCTCTGGAACGCGGCGTAAATTTAAGTTTTACGTAAGGACTTATGGAAACCTCCTTGGAGAAGGTAAACCTTTATACGGATAGTTCATTCAGCTTGAATACTTCAATTAATCATTTATTATAACATTTCTATCATAAATGAGTGAAAGTTACCCCAAAATTTTTATTTATTGGCCTATAAAGTAGAAATTTTGAGGAAATGAGAGGTATAAATGGACCAAAAGAGACCTTATAAAGAAGACAAAGAGGTCCATTAGTAGTATTTATCATCCTAAAGTCATCTTTTGTATCATATTCAACTGTTTGTAGGCAGATGAGATAAATATTTGATCATTTATTGGTCCACACTATATTCTATCATGATGCGGCTTGGTTTGGATTTTTCGAAGAAATTTAGCTCGAATCACTGTAGATGTCGTCTTACATTATACTAGATTTTTCTCAAACTATTTAACTGATTATGACAAAACTTGACAGGAATGCTTGAAATAACCAGTATTACAAAGGAAAAAAGTCACATTCAGTTTATTTAACAAAATAGCCTTCTTTAGGTGTAATACCACCAAATCATAGTACGTCACATCCGGTTGCATACGAAAATAGGTCGAAAAAAAATATTCCCTTGAATTTGACAGTTGTAGGTAATTGATCCTACATTTCATTGCAGTAAAACATTTCTGGGTCATAAACATACATCTTGGGTATTTCAAAGCACCATTATTTTTTTATTTGGGGTTTCTATAGAATATTTTGGAAACTTGAGGTTACATGGTTACTAAAGCTTGTACACAGGTTAAAAAAGGGGGAAAATTTGATTGGTTAACTACCAGTGATGGTTATTTTCTTATATGCAATGAAATGTTATGTGAAATTTTTTCTATAGTACTGGACAGGATCAAACTTTACTCATGCCAAGTATTTCTTTATTTGAAACAAAGATAAATTCTGCACAATTTTTTGAAAAGTGCAAATTTAACAAAGACTAATAGGGGAAAATCAATGGTGGAATTACACCTTTATTTCATATGATTTGTTTTTTTGTCCTGTACAAGAATATATATGGTTTAGGGGAAGGGATCTTGACCGTTTACAAGTTCTTAAACAGGAGGCGGTGGGGGTGACCCCGGGGGACTCGCCTTATACTTCATTTGATTTGTTTTATTGTCCCATACAAGAATATATATGGTTTCTGCATGGGGATCTTGACCGTTTACAAGTTTTCAAAAAGATTTCCCCTTAATTTCATTTGATTTGTTTTATTGTAAGAATATATATGGTTTAGGGGAAACCCGAGATTATAGTACTCCCGTTGATATGGATCTCACGCATGTCTTGGGAATACCGATAAAAACATAACGTAGAAACTGCTGTCTAGTGTAAATGTGTATTGATTTTACTTTCCACACAGAGCAGATCAGAGAAGTAGTGTTGTGATAGCCATTTTCAAAATGAAGTTGAATTATTTGAATTAAAGATGAACATTCAGTACATTTTAATACACCTAATCGCTATTTATTCCATTCCAGATAAGTTCTAAAATTACACAACTTTTTCATCCAGTTGAAGCTATCTGGGACCCTGTTTAAACAATGAACCATGCATGATACTTTTTAATGAGACCTGTTTAAAACATCGTAAATTCTTCAAACACAATATTTTTTTTACTATAATTTGAGTTTGGAAAAAGTGGATCATAATCTATCAAAGTTTCCTATTGATCGCTTTCTAAATTTTTCCCTCCCTCAGCTCGTTACTGATGACCTTTGTTTGCGGCCTGTTGACCCAAACAGGAAGTTGTCTAAATGACTGTTTTTTCCAGATTGGACTAAATAGCGATAAGGTGTATTCAAACTGTAAGCTAATCAAAATAGAAGTAACTCAAAATTTCAAAAGCATCTTCCTAGAATTAGTTGTCAAACACCAGTACTACATTATCTAAGAGTAGAACACACATCCTAAAGTAAGATAGTCTGTCACTTCCGGTTTGAGGCAGATGCCTTACAAAAGTTTTTGCTATAGCAAGCTATAGCAAACTTTCCAAAAATGGATGAGACCACGTTGTCAGAGAAAGGGTAAACTTTCCTTAAATACTTTTGGTATGATTCATTGAGCACTGCCTACTCCTTTCATAAAGATTCTGCATCTTATAATTCTTTTTAAAGTGAAGAAATCCAGAAAGAAATAAAAGTCTTTTTGACAGAAAAACTTCTGCAATTATCATCATTGTATTCATTAATAGAACTGGCCCCTGCGATATTGACCTATATTATGTCAGCAGCAGTAACTTACAAATACATACGCGTGGATATAATTGTATTACTAATTTTTGATTCTTAAAAACTTCTTAAATCTTGATAAAGACCATTATCTTTCGTATGATTTCAAGATGATTCCGATTATTATTTTTTGAATGATTTCAAAGTTCAGCTGACAAGAAAGGTAAACATTCTTTCAAGAACTATTTTCTAGCGATAGCGATTTGTTATCATTGGTATGTAAAATGTCCAAAACCATTACAATACGGATCTATTTATATTCAGATTTTTTTACGGATGGAAAGTCATGCACAAAAAAGCGAAAGCTCATATAAATATGAAAAATATACCGAAGGGATAGTTCAAAATACCATTTAATAACAATAAACATATGGACAGGTTAAGAATAACATTCTGTAGAGGACATAGTTATATAAAATACGGAACCGTGTTCGGAAGGCGGCTTGGAAGCGACCGGAAGCGATAAAATGAAATCTAGTCAATGGTACAATGTATAGTATAATTGACGCTTTGACAGTGTCATTTTTCAAAAATTGAAAGGGAGCTCACGTCAATAGATATAAACAATTCACCAAAGTTTCATGCAAATTTTTTTAAGCGTTTTTGAGTTATCGTCCGACATGTTGACTACGGACAGACAGTATTCCATAATACGTCCTTTAAAAGGGCGTATAATAAACGGGCGTATAAAAACTTAACATTGAGCAATGAACTGTGAAAATGAGGTCAATGTTAAATATAACCTGCCAGACTGACATGTACATTATAAAAAATTTTCATACACCTAATATAGTTGACCTATTGCATACAGTATTAGAAAAACAGACCTAAACACAAAAACTTAACTTTAACCAGTGAACCATGAAAATGAGGTCAAGGTCAGATGACACCTGCCAGTTGGACATCTACACCTTACAATCATTCAATACACCAAATATAGTAGACTGATTGCTTAAAGTATCTGAGATATGGACATGACCATGAAATCTTAACCTTGTTCACTGATCCATGAAATGAGGTCGAGGTCAAGTAAAAACTGTTTGACAGGCATGAGGACCTTGCAAGGTACACACATACCAAATATGGTTATCCTATTACTTATAATAAGAGAGAAATTAAGAATACTAAAAATCTTAACTTTTTTTTCAAGTAGTCAATGAACCATGAAAATGATGTCAAGAACAATGGACATATGACAGACGGAAACTTCTTAACATAAGGCATCTATATACGAAGTATAAAGGATCCAGGTATTCTACCTTCTGAAATATTAAGCTTTTTTAAAAAAAAGAAGTTTGTTGATGCTGACGCCGGATCATTATCCCTATGTCTCGCTTTCTGCTACAGAAGTCGCAGGCTCTACAACAAACTACCTACTCTGCCACAACTCCTAATCACTGACAATACCGCTTAATATGTAAAATATATCAACATATACCAAAGAATATTATTCCTAACCCTGGACTTGTAGCATTATACATAATAAATAAATATGTAACCCAATATATATCTATCTTAACCTTTTACTCTAACTACTTACCTCAAACTACTGATCTACAATAAACAGGATAAACATGTCACATGTCAACATTTCTGACACCTTACCACCAGCCCACACCAAAATATATAAATACTTACCACAACATATCCACCTTTACCACTACTCCTCACCACCGACCCAAACCATTGGTCAGTCCTGGTTCCAGCAATACTAGTTATGTCATCTGCAATATAAAAATACTGCTATAACATATGTAAAATTCTGCAGATATATAATTTCATACAACTGAGATCATGTTTTCTTACTTGTAAGTCTGATTTACATATTGTATTAATGGGCATAATTTATGGTTGCAGAAAATCTGGTTTATTACTTACTGTGCTTATCCAAGAGGATTTGCACTTCAAGATACTTACAAATGTAGTATTTGACCAAAATTATATTTTTAGTCTAGTTGACTAATGGACCCATTTAAAAAAACAAAGACATTAAAAGGTATGTATGTTCAAATTTAATGTAGTATTCCAAAGAATTTCTGTAAACGGTGTGATAATGTTTGTGTGCTATAAGCGGGTCCGTTAGAATGCAAATTAGTCATAATTGATGTGTCTGGTGTTTTCATTGGTTTAAAGATCATTTGCTAAGTACAGAGACTGGTGGTTATTCAAATTTTTATCACAATATGACAATAATGTGAACATAGGAAATCTTTTTCCATAGTAATGCATACATTATTTGCTATATGTCTAACCACCAGCAATCAATCAACACTACATCTAGGTAAGGTTTTATTTGCTATTTGTCCATTTATGATATTTTCAACTAATTGATTGACCTAGCCTTAGTGTTTAAACCTCAAGTGTGGGAGGTCTCAGTTAGATTCTTGGCCAAGTCAATCCATAGACTTTAAATGTTGTATTTGCAACTTCTCTGCGAAGCATATGACAATTTTAAGAATAAGAACAAAGTATGGACTGCTTCTTGTATGAAAATAATTTATATGTCCAAGTAGGGGCAAAATATTTTCTTGTGGATGGTTACCTTGTAAGCTAGCTTTTTGAAAACCAGCCGAGCATTTCTGGTACAAAGCAAGGGTCATAATAACAATTATCAAATGAACATTTAATAATAATGATTATGCATTTAATACAGGTATTTAAAACTGGATGTTAGGCTTCCATCAATCACTTGATGCTGCGCATAACAGACTCCTTCCCAAAAAAATATTGATAGAATACATGTATATAATGTTGTAAAAATTCCTACTGTAAAAGATAAAATCTGAACTTGAACACCAAAAACTGACCAAACAACTGTATTTTTTTCAAAACAACAAACATAATCAATTGTCTAAGGAAACTGGCTTAAATTACTATTTTGAGTCAAAAACTAAGATTTTTATCATGAAATTTCCAAATAACTGAAAACTGAAAACTGAAAAATTTAATGTTTCTTTTTTTTTTTGCTACTCAATCTTGAGTTTGCTGCACATAATTTGTCATTGATTTTCTGACTATCTATTTTAATACAAATGTAATTGCATCAAATAACTACAAACATTGCTAATTAACAAATCACTTTATCTATGTATATTATGAATTGTCAAGTGCATATTTACCATATATATACATTTTTTGTATGTTAACATACCCATTATTTTTTTTAGGGTTTAACAGAACATTTTAAGGAGATATTAACAGGTGCATTAAATATGGTGACTTCCTAAATACGAACTAAAATTAAATAAAAATTAACAGAGATATTAACTGGTCCTTTATAAGTTAACATATGTTTTGTGAATAAGCCCCCTGATGTCACTTTAAAAGTTTTCTTTTACCAAGAAAACTTGGATGATGTTTTTTGAGAATTTTTGACAGAAAACTTAATTCAAAACTTTGACAGCCTTTGATGGAATGGAATCGTGAAACTTGAGTGAGGGTTGATGGGAATTAGCCGTATTCGGCAATCAGAGCTAAGTTTATGAAAATCTTTTTTCAATAACAAAAACATGGGGTAACAACGAAGAGAAAGAAGAACTGATAAGACAGATGACTTCCAGTAAAACTTAAAGATAACTGTACATGTAGTAAGGACAAAAAGCAGGAGATTAGTTGGTTAAATTGGTTCAGGTCAAAGTTTGAGATTCATCTTCTACCTAAAAACATGAATGATACCTAATTTGCCTCCACAAAATTCTATGAGAAGTGTTTTGGAACCACTGTATACTTTTGTCAACTCCCCCCTTTTTTCCTAAAGAAAAAACTTTCATAGCAACAACAGACATCTTTAACCAAATTTTTTGGGGGAAACTTTTGAAAGTCACAACAGGCCTTTAGTAGTATTGTTTAGTGTTATTTTTTAGGATATTTAAAATAACATTTACTGTAAAAGTGTTCATATCTTATGAATTCTAGACAACAATTTAAGTGCTTTATATGGTCTGTGCATTCAATCTTTCCTAGTTTCATATTATTAATGGCAATTTAATGCACTTTTAAAGTTTCATTTTCATGAACAACATGCAGATTTCAATCAAAATGTTTAATGTGTAATAAGAAACAGTGTAATCTATATATATGTAAGATCATATCCTTCATCCTTGCATTTCTCATCTGTCTTTACCCTAATCAATATCCAAGTTATTTATCAATCTACAACACTGAATATTTGTTATCCAACTGGGTATATAATATGCAAAAATGGAGAAAACTAGCTTGAGTAATCAATATAATTTAATATACACTGATTAAGCTATCAAATTCTAATTTGCAAATAGCTATACTGGTATTTTGGTTGTCAATCCCATTATTTTACAATTTTTCAAATCCCTTCTATTCAGACTTTTGGATTATATTTTGATATAGGGCACTTCCCCGGTATATATTTACATGACTGGAACCGAACTAATGCAGTATATTTTTTTACATTTTCTCTTTAGTTCATGAGGTAGACAAAACCAGATTTTTTTTCTTGGAAGTCTGTAGCAGGCCCCTTTCCAATTCAGTATATACATTTCAGGAAATCTTTACTTGTTTTATGCCACTTTCAATCTTGACAGTTTCTTGAAGGTCAAAATGCAATAAACTCCACACTTTACAAGATTAAGATAACTATTAAAATCAATTGAAATGAAAATATTTATACTGTTTGTGTCTCACCAGATTCTGCCTGTAATTGTATTGCACAACTTTCTTTACACCAAGAGTTAAATGAACATTTATATAATCCTCCAGTCTTATTGTTTCTATCACCAGGTCTTGATAACTTTGGCGAACCAACTAATAACCTGCAATAATAAAATATTCAAATATCACAGATGATTAGACAGAATTGTTGTCACTTTCTAAGCTTTACAGAAAAACACAAGAAAGTGACTGTGATAAGTGAACTAAAACTTTAAAAATGCACCATATCAAATTTATATGGGAGACAACTTGTTTTTACATGTAATTCCATTGATTTACAAGTAATTTCAGCTTTGATATACCTTATTATAAATCAATTGCAATATAAATAATAGAATAAAAAAAAATCAAAAACTACATCAAATATTTTGAATTTGAGATATACTTTCATCCATATAAAAAGATATCCTACAGGGGTATTCTCTTCTTTTTGGTCACATTTCACTTTTTTAGAAACAACCTTTTCCTCAAATCATCTTGTTGTACTTGTAATCAAATTTGAGTGTCTGAATAGAATGGTTGTTAACAGTGTATTTTTGACAATTTTTCAGTTGAAATTAATAAACTGAAGTTTTGGGAAAGTGAAGAAGAACTGGGCAAGTTATTCTTGAAGGAAAGGTACAGTGACAGTTAATTGCTGTTGTGACCATTCTTTCTTTTGAAAAAGTTAGAAATCACAAAACACCTAATTATTTCACTAAGGAACACAAAACCCTTACCCAATTTTATTTCCTGATTGAATGAATGAGGGTGTTTTCATTTTGTACAATTTTAGAGTTCCAGTGTTTATAAATAAAACATTACTAATTATATATTTCTTATTAATTATTGACTTTTACTATTTGATTATTATTCTGTAAAAATATGGAAGAAATGGTCACAACCAGAATAAATTTATTTGTCTGTTTTTATTACACAAGAAATACTCTATGTTGTCTTTAATTAATCATGTTAATCAGTCTTAAAGATTCTTGTCAAAATATATTTTCCATAATTTGTGTCTACATAGATAACAAACATCTCTTAGTTTCAAGGGTATAAAAACATGCATTTAATATCGTCTTTATCTGGTATACTTCTTATCAAAACAAATTTTATCTCAAACTCATGCCATGCAATTATTTATCTGTAATAACAAGCTTTCTCATGTAAATAGTTTCACCCTTACACTATCATTGACTATATCTCCATGAAAGTGAAAATGAGAAAAATAATTCAAATAGTTGGATGAAATAGGGTCCCTTTACATACACTTGTACAATGTATATATATATATATGTGATATGTTTGTAGGTTAAATTGTAAGAATAAAATTGAAGGTCTCTTATTTGCAGTGAGTACATCAGAGAAATTGCATTTTAGGGTTACAGAGTGGATAACAATGATTTTTTGCAAACTTATTGAGATTTAAATATGTTACATACTGGGGGTGCCAATTAAACTGTTAGATTTATACAACTGAATATATAGCATTTAGATGTATTTCAAAAGTACTGTTTTCAATAAATATGAAAAGTTTTGAAGACTACCAAGAACAAAAGATATTAACTGGGATAAGAAATTCAAAAGATAATGGCCAATGAACTTGAATGTTTTATGGACATTCATTACTATACAAGATGTATCCACTAAAAAAGTAGCATTACTATAGATCTCCAACCTTACTACAAAACTAAATTGAACTAACATATAAATATTCAGGCCCAATTATTGTCAATGGCTAATTCTAACATCTTTATGACTAACAATGGATAGCTCAATATATATATATATACATGTATGACTAGCTATTTTTCATGATGAGGTCAACTGTTAAAAGGTATATACTGTATGTACATGTTTATATAACATTTAAAATTTATATTTGGCAGTTAATCTTGTCTACAACAGTATTTCAGACATATTAAGACTGTTGTTATTTTAGGCAGCCATAGAAGGTCAGAATAAAATTTAACAGGGCAACAATGTACACAGTAAGAAGTCTAAAGTTAGCTATGCTAAGTTCCTTTTTCTTTAGTGGAGAATATACCAGGGATGAAACTGATACAATATGAGATTTCAGTAAACAAAAATTGGGACCAATCCTTACAACTAATCTAGCTACATGGAAAATATATTTCGATTTAAAATAAATGCATGGATTGTACATTTTATTATTATACCTTCCTACTTCTTCATAATATGACAAAGCACTTTAATAATCTACTACAACATACAAATATTTGTGGTATGAAAGGTGTGAGCTGATATATGATTAAGTTATCCTATTATGGCTGTATGTTCATTATTAACAGATTTTTTTTCTCATTCACAATTGATAAGTACTAACAATACAACTTCAAATCATTATAAATGACATCAAACCATGCATGTGCATTTCATTCAAAACTAATCAGAATTCTGTTACTATACAACTAGCACATTTGTAGTAGGGTGTTTTTAGAGTAAGAAAACAAAATTATTAGATTGATTTCAAGTTACTAATGGCTGAAGAAAAAACCTCATACAATTTAATGCAACATAGTAGTAAAATCAATTGGTTTCTCCACTTAACCTCAACCAAATGTTCAAGTATATTGCACAAATTCATTTTATCACAAGAAATCCCTTTCACAGATATCAAGAGCCCTCATACGAAGAAAGATAAAAATGGCAATAGCAAAGGCCTAAAAATTTCACATACTCATTACTGTGGTGGTCACTGAATGGGCCTCACTTTTACTGCACACTTTATAATATCATTATTAATTAGATGCATAGAAACAACAATGATCTATAATAAGAATGGTACCGATTCTGAAATGGACCTAATTAAACAAAATTGACATCAGCTGCTGCATACTACAATGACAAAAAAGAAGATTTACATGTATATATCTACAATGCAATGTCCTACTTTGCAAAATTTGTTGGACATTAGACAAAATGGAGAGATGCAACAACCACCAACTTCATTGACTTAAGGCTTTATACATATTTGGGGTGCCTAAACTTGTTTTGAGAGTACTAAACCCTTCCCCTTTTATCTCAAAGGAATGAGAAATTAGTTATAAATTGCCTAGATAATAATGCAATGCAATTTTGGACGTGTGTTACATGTAAATTTTAAGGCACTATTTCAATCAATGTTTTTTTTTTATATAAAAATACATGTATCTGAAGAGTTATGAATATTCATACTTCTTGAGAAATATGTCACATGAGTAGATAAAAACTTGGAAGAAAATCTAAAATAAACTGTAAAGGGCAATTTGCCTCTTTTTCCAGTGAAAAATTGAACAAATAGTACTTCATGTACCTTTTATTTATACCGGAAAATGATACAGTTTGCCATCCTGATCAGCATGTTAACCTAATTATCAAGATCAACACTTAAGCATTCATATCGAATTTAAAATAAATTATAAAACATTTATATATAATTTAATATAAATATGGAACTCTACAAGTCACTGCCTGAACAAATCATTTCTTTGTACAAAAGTAGATGATGTTCATGTACATTGCACATCAAAATTTCATATATTCATGGATTATTCTGATTATTTTTATAATGTTTTTATTTCCTGAATTCCTTTTGAAAGTTATTAAATTTGGATTTATACCAAACAAATACATCTAGTTTACATTTTTATAAAAGGAAGATTTAACAGTAATAAATATTCATGAATCAGTGAATCATTTGAAACCTCAAGTGTAACACTTGAATAAACTTCAGTGTTAGTGACCTCAACATCCTAAAGTCTTATAGTAATTTTTTCTGCGATATCTCCATATGTAAACAAATTTGTAATTCGCCAAACTAGAAATGTATAGACCTTATTTGTATTTATATTGGCACTGTCTGTTATATGAGAGATTTGATTCATTTAAGTCACCTATCAGGAATCAAGGATATAAAAATTATATATTTATGTATGGTTCGTCATGTTAATATTTCTCATACAAAGAATCTGCAAGACCAACTTCAAATGCAAACTGCTAAAACTTAAAAGTGAACTGAAAAAGCAGTCACAAAACATTTAATTTGGCATATGAGTAGACATGAAGTGCTTAAGGGGTGACAACTGTGACATGGAAGAAAATCAGAGGGATTTTATATTTAAGTGTGACAAAATGGGGAAAAATAAACATTTCTTAATGACCGTGATCTACCATACCTCCTCTATGTCCTGTCTGCATTGTTATGGATGTGAACAAAGCCTTATGTTAATTTACAGTTTAATCTAAGTTCTATTTCTTTTAATTTTGCACATAAATGTACATGTATATTCCTTCTAATACATTTTACAGTTTCGTCTCTCATTTTCATTATTGTACTTTATACAAATCATTTTGCAGGTATTTTAGAACTTGTAAAAACAACTGCACTAAAGAATTTGTTCAATATTTAAACACCTCAAACTAACCTTAGAGCATGTCTAAATATGCATGCATATAAAGAGAATGTTGTATAAAATTAACTTTGAATTGAACTCTATCATTTACTTGATTAATCAACCAGAAACTTGATAATTTGTTGTTGTACATACATGTACAGAATGGCTTGCCTCTAGCTTAAAATGCAATATGATTCAGTGGAACATGATACTTGAATAGTGCTTTTTGTCCAAATATTTGAACTATTGAAACCTTGAAAACTGTCATAAAGTCACTGATTTGACATAATCAGTTATTCAGCTAGACTTCAGTCAAGGATATTTGCTCACTTTTTTCTCTAAATGACCCCAAGGAATTTGAAATTATCATTTTTTTTAATATTTAGATAACTTTTTGAAAGTTGTCCTGAGGAAGGTTTTAATGGGAATTGACCTGAAGTCCCTAAGGTCTATCTGAATCACTGCATGATTAACCCTTATTTCATTCCATTTCTTTCCCTTGAAAAGTCTCCAAACTAAAAACGAGATATTTTTTTATACATGAACATCTATTTGTTTCATTAGGTGATAAGAAGTATGCCAAGAGGTTTTTTTTATTAAGCCAGTGTATTTGGACTTTCAGTTTTGACGTTCAGATATCAAAGAACATTTTTATATAGAACTTTGTTTATATGTACAAGGTACAATTTTTAAATATTCTTTTATGAGTATAACTTTATGCA